CAACCATTATCACTCTCTAATTCCAGAATATTTTTGTCACCCCGAAAAGAAACTTTGTACCTATTGGCAGTGTCTTAGTCCATTTCTGCTGCTATAACAAAATACCCAACATTGGGTAATTCAGAAATAATAGAGATTTCTTTTTCTTTTCTTTTTTTTTTTTTTTTTAGACAGAGTTTCACTCTTGTTGCCCAGGCTGGAGTGCATGGTGCAATCTCGGCTACCCGCAACCTCCACTTCCCGGGTTCAAGTGATTCTCCTTCCTCGGCCTCCCAAGTAGCCGGGATTATAGGCATGTGCCACCAGGCATGCCCAGCTAATCTTGTATTTTTCGTAGAGACGGGGTGTCTCCATGTTGGTCAGGCTGGTCTCAAACTCCTGAGCTCAGGTGGTCCGCCCACCTTGGCCTCCCAAAGTGCTGGGATTACAGGCATGAGCCACCGTGCCTGACCCAGATATTTATTTTTCATAGTTCTGGAGACTGAGAGCTCTAAGATCAAGGCCAGCAGATTTGGTGTCTGGTGAGGGATCGGTCTTTGCTTCCAAGATGGTGCCTCTTGTGTGTCTTCGCACGGCATAAAAGCTAACAGGAAAAAAGGGCTAAGACACTCCCTTTGATCTCTTTTTTATTGTTGTTGTTTTGAGACAGGGTCTCACTCTGTTGCCCAGGTTGGAGTGCAGCAACACCGCCACAACTCACTGCAGCCTCCGCCTCTTGAGCTCAAGTGACCCTGCAACCTCAGTCTCCTGAGTAGCTGGGACTACAGGCATGCCACCACTCTCAGCTAACTTTTATTTTTTTATTTTTTATCTTGAGACAGAGTCTCCCTCTGTTGCCCAGGCTGGAGTACAATGGCATGGTCTCGACTCCCTGCAACCTCTGCCTCACAGGTTCAAGCCATTCTCCTGCCTCAGCCACCCAAATAGCTGGCATTACAGGCCTGTACTACCATGCCTGGCTAAAATTTTTATATTTTTAGTGGAGACAGGGTTTCACCATGTTGGCCAGGCTGATCTTGAACTCCTGACCCCAATTGAGCCACCCGCCTTGGCCTCCCAAAGGGCTGGGATTACGGGTGTGAGCCATTGCGCCTGGCCATCAGCTAACCTTTTGTAATTTTGGTAGAGACAGGGTTTCACCATATATTCCAGACTGGCCTCCAACTCCTGGTCTCAAGCAATCTGCCTGCCTCAGCCTCCCAAAATGCTGGGATTACAGGTGTGAGTCACCGCACCTGGCCTTGGCCTCTTTTATAAGGGTACTAGTCTCCCTCATTGGGGTGGAGTGTTCATAATCACTTTCCCAAAGGTCCTACTTCTTAATCACTTGTCAGTATTCAGTTTCAACAAATGAATTTTGGAGGGACACATACATTCAGATCATAACGAGTATTCAGTCCTCATTCCCACCCACCCAGTGCCTGGCAACCACTAGTCTACTTTCTAACTCTATAGAATTGCCAATTCGGGATATCTCCTATACATGGAACCATATGATACATGGTCTTTTTCGTCTGGCGTCTTTCACTTAGAATGTTTTCAAGATTCATCCATGGTGTAGCACGCATCAGTACTTCATTCCTTTTTATGGCTATTCTGCAATGATTCAGTCTGTGCAAACCTGCCTCCAAAGGCCAAGGGAGTTGAGAGGCCAGAAAGAGACTGACAATCCAGTTTCTCGGAAATAAACATTTAATAGGGATTTAGGAATGGAAGCCATGTCCCTGGCAGTAGGAGACAGTGAATCCTCACACCATGACCCCCCAGGCCCAGGGCTTATATACCATAGGGAAAAGATATCCATGCCTTAGAAGGAATTTGCCTAAGGGGAGGATTTACAGTACATAGTAGATAAAGCAGAAATCTTAGAGGCATTCCCCAAACAGGTTTATCAGAAGTTGAAATGGCAGATTAGCATCCAAGATGGAATTCGTTGCTTTAGCCTCTACAATAACTAAATGATAGACTGCTGCCTGGAAACACCACATTTGGCTTATTCATTCTGTTGATGAACATTTGGGCTGTTTCCACATTTTAGCTATATTCTATTCTATTACATTATATTACCATAAACATTCACATACAAGAAATTGTGTGAACATAGGTTTTTGATTCTCTCAGGTACCTAGGGGTAGAATTGCTGGGCATACGATAACTCCCTGTTTAACCATTTGAGGGGCAGCCAAGCTGCCTTCCACACAGTTGCACCATTTCCTGGTTCCAAAAGCAATGCAAAAGGGCTCCGATCTCTCTATAACCGTACCTACCATTGCTAATGTCCTTTTTCTTTCTTTTTATTTTTTGAGACAGAGTCTCGTTCTGTTGCCCAGGCTGGAGTGCAGTGGCATGCAACCTCCGCCTCCCAGGTTCAAGTGATTCTCCTGCCTCAGCCTCCTGAGTAGCTGGGATTACAGGTACACGCCATCACACTCAGCTAATTTTGTATTTTTAGTACAGACAGGGTTTCACTATGTTGGCCAGGATAGTCTTGATCTCTCGACCTTGTGATCCACCCGTCTTGGCCTCCCAAAGTGCTGGTATTACAGGCGTGAGGCACAGTGCCCGGCCTTAAAGTTTCCTATGCCTTATATATAAAATGGGAATAATTTAAGTGAGTGCTAATGTATTTCAAGGACTCTAAAATATACCCTTTTCACATCTTAACATCTCTGACATGGAGATGTGTCTTAAGGTGCTGTGGGGCTGGAAGGAGTTGTGAATGTAGTCATTCTCACCTGGGCATACACATCAGAACTTGCAGACCGGATGTCAGCTGCGGGAGAGAGAGCCCTAGAGACAAGAGTGAAACCTCTTTGAGGCAATGCTGACGTACCAACACTCTTGCCACAGATGACAGCACTGTGGGTAAAACTCGGATCTCATGGACTAGGCCAGGCTGATCACAAGAGTGGGCCCTAGATCAGAGGAAGTTTGGGGAACAGCTTTACCTATTCATTTCACTTGTATTTTCCCTATTATCTATGCACAAGAGTGATATGCAGTAACCATCTTTGTTGAAGGAAATCTAAATAAGCTCTTTCAGCAATGGTAAAATAAAAATTCTAAGGGCTAAGAAATACTTTGTGTCAATGAATTGGCTTTATTTCCCTTTTTTAGCAGCATATAAAATAATGATGTGTGTGGCCATCAGTGATGAAGTAAAGGTACCTACTTCTTACATTGGAGGGCTATTGAGAGGCCTGCGGGGCAGGAGTGGGTAGTATTCATGGAGCACTTAACTCAGGGCCTGGCAGAGAGTAGTCCTGTTATAAACGTTGCTGGTTAAGAAGATTATTCTTAATAACGTGCCTATTTGTAATATTATGACTTGTAAATATTGCCCGACTTTCTACAAGGGACCTTTCTTCTGACCCTTCACTGACTCATTAATTCTAAAGGAGGAAAACTCATAATAATGGCTTATTTCTTTCACAGCACTCAAAAAAATTAAGGCCAGGCACAGGGGCTCATGCTTGTAATCCCAGCACTTTGGGAGGCCAAGGCAGGTGGATCACTTGAGCCAGGAATTCAAGATCAGCCTGGGCAACATAGTGAGACCCTGTCTTTACAAAAAAATACAAAAATTAGCTGGGCGTGGTGGTGTGTGCCTGTGTTCTCAGCTACTAAGGATGCTGAGGTGGAAGGATCGCTTGAGCCCAGGAGGCAGAGGTTGCAGTGAGCCAAGATCGCACCACTGTACTCCAGCCTAGGTGACAGAGTGAGAAAAATAAAATTTGAATGAAGAAAAATAAAATTTGAATGAAAAGAAAAATCAATAAATTACCTGGCTCAATCAATACAAAATTTGTGGTTTTTTTGAGATGGAGTCTCACTCTGTCACCCAGGCTGGAGTAGAGCAGCACAGTCTCAGCTCACTGCAACCTCTGCCTCCCAGGTTCAAGTGATTCTCCTGCCTCAGCCTCCCAAGTAGCTGGGACTACAGGTGTGCACCACCATGCAGGGCTAATTTTTGTATTTTTAGTGGAGAAAAGGTTTTACCATGTTGGTCAGGCTAGTCTCGAACTCCTGACCTCAAGTGATCTGCCTGCCTCGGCCTCCCAAAGTGCTGGGATTACAGACATAAGCGACCACACCCAGACTCCCAATGAATACAAAATGTAGCAAATGTTAGTCAAAGGCCCTTAGGGAAGAGGCTTGCTGCAAAACCAGAGGAGGACACACAAATGTTAGTGTTCCCCTAGAAGATGCACACTTGGCACCATATAGGTCAGTTCCAACCAGAAGTGGATTTCTGGACCCCAGGGGCACATATGGTTTAGTAGCTTTCTCTATGAAGTCCAGTAACTATGTCCCCTGTTAGGTAAATCTCTTCCCAACTTTGAGTTCAGTGACTTCACGTTGGTTGCCTGAAACTGGCCATGCTATGAGTATTTACACCACAGGAATTAGCAAACTCTATAAATCAGCTCATCACTACATTGAGTTTCTCGAGTTGAGGTAAGATCTATAAGCTCAGTCTCACACCACAAGCTGAGGGGCACTCACTGGGTCAGCAGAGATACTTGGGCCTTTAAGGAGTTATGGCACCTGGGGCGTTTGCTGCCTGCTCTGCTGGACACTTGTCCTTGCACCACTGTCCATTTCCACGTGGCTGTCTTTGGGTACGGCTGACCTGCTAGGAGGTTCTTTTTGCTCCTATTTCAGCAGTCAGTCCATCTTCCAGACACTGGACAAACCTCTCCATGGTTTCTCTATGGCTGGAGTTAGGTTGGAGTTAGCTCACGGGGGCCGAGTCAAGGTGAGAGTGAAACAGACACAAAAGGCCAACACAAGAGGAAAACAATGCATATTTGATAACCGAAAAGGGGGTAGAGATGGGTTTACTCTTAATTTCCAACTGAAATTATTAGCATGGTTGAATTCATAGACTTCCTGCCCACCTCCAGCTTTCCTGGCAGAATTCTACAGCCACTAGCGCAGTCTCTCTTCTGTTCTCTTCAACTGTCCTTATGAGGCTTGGCACACCTTGTAATAAAGACCAGGCAAGAGAAGAGTGGGGAAGGGAGAACAGAAAACCAGCTTACCCAGGAACCGAACACCTTCTGAGGAGGGAGGTGGAGGAGCAGCTATAGGGTAGGAGAGAAGTAGATGGGGAAAGACAGGGGATTAAACACATTAGTTTCTCATTTTCTTAATAGGTAGTATACACACATGGTACACAATTACAAGGCCTCCCACCTACCTCACCTGTGCACCCAGCAGCCCCATTTCCTCCCTAGAAACAGCCTATGTCATCAGTTCTTCACAAAGCAGGGGTTCCTGAGAATATTCCATCCCAGGGGTTCCCGAGAATATTCCATCCCAGGGGTTCCCAAGCTTCCCTGGATGAGAATCACCTGGAGGGCCTGCAAGAGGGCTGCTACCACCAGTTCCTGGGGTTCCTTTCTGATTCAAAGGCTCTGGGGTGGAATCTGAGAATTTGAATTTCTAACAAGTTCCCAGGTGATGCTGCTGGCCCAGGGATTGCACTTTGAGAACCACAGTTCTGGAGGTGTTCATAGAAAACTTTTCAATTCTCTCTTCGAAGTAATTTGAGTATCTGTTTCCGGCAATGGATATATCTCTAAGACAGCATTAATATGACACAGTTCCTGCCTGTGAGCCTTCCCTATGCTGGACTCTTCGCCCGGAATACTCTCACCCCTGATCTCCACATGATCCAAGGCCCACTCAAAGGCCACTTCCTTCAGGAAGTCTTCCTTGGTTCTCTCCCTATACTGGAAGAAGGCTTATGCTCCTTTAAATTTCCATAGAAGTGTTTGTCTGCATTCTTTTAAGGGTACCTGTTATTTATTAGAACAAGATGTAAAAATAGGGCTCTCTTTGCCTCCATTTTTATAATTTTTGTTAAAGAGATATCAGATTCCAAAATAAGTTTGAGGGAGATCATCAAATGTAGTGTTTAGGTTTCAAGATTCTTGGTCCTCCCTCCCCTGATCAGCTTGGAGACGATAGAATGGTTGAGGTAATTTGGGATGATGTCTTGGGACAGGGCTATGCTGTGAGCCTACAAGAGAAAAGGAGAAATCAAGGTTCTCTGTAGCTGGGGGGCTCCAGGGACCAGGGCCTGAGAGAGCCGAAGCAGCCTCGGGCCAGGCAGAGAGAGAAGGAACTGCCCTCCACCGAAGGCAGAGCGAGGGGAGCGCTGTTGCTTCTTGAGGACCAGTGGAAAGTCTCCAAGGCAGCCATTGCGGGGACATCTGAAATGCCACCCAATATGGCCAGGCTGGTAGGGGCTATGTGGCAACCTCAGCTGGGAGGAAGTGCGAGGTGAACTTCACATTCTCCTGGCTCCACATGGCAGAGTCCTGGGAACTGTGGACAAGCCCCCAGTCTACGGGATCTCTGAGGAACACCCAAAGCACCCGTGATCACAAGAGTCACCTTTACGCACCTGCCATCCAGAAGACCTTGACATCTGGAGACAACGGCGCCACCTTGTGATTTTATCCTTTCTCCTACGGGCAGCAATCTCATTAGCCTGTTGGTGGGAAAAGGAGGGGCTGGGAGAGAGAGTAAGAGAGAACCTACCGCATCTCCCTTCTCGGGTGGCTGGGGAGATGGGAGAACATGCAATGCCACATCAAGTTCAAAGTGTTGATGATGATGTAGCACTGGACATTCTCCTGATAGGAGACAGTGGTTGTAACTCAGAGGGGCAAAGGACTGTAAGACTGCTGTTTCCTGAAGGTGGCAAGAGAGGGCACAGCCCTGCTGAATTTTCATCAGGGGCAGGCAAAGTCATTCTTTTTACTGCTATGCAGCATGTTTGCTTAAAGTTCCACACACACACTGCATAAGCTTTTTCTCTCTCTCACTATGCCGTGAGCTCCCTGATACTGTGTGGCTTATAACAACTTTGTGGCCCTTTTGGTGCCTAGCACCATACCTGGCACATACCTGGCTACAGCTGATAGTTGCCCATTTATTCATTGATCCTTGCCTTCAACATGTATTGAGAGCCCACACTGGGTGGTAGCAATAGAGCAGGAAGTGAAACGCATGTGACATGTGTTCCAGGAGCTTGCTGTCTGCAGGGGACGGGGACGAAAAGTGTCTGTAGAGCCTCGCACCACTCCAAGGGGAGAAAATTCAAGTCCCATGGGCACCAGGCAGGAGCATGAATAAGGGAGTCTGTGTCTGACTGTGACACCTTGGGCAAGTCTAAGACAATAGGCATGTTGGCAATTCTGGCAGAACAGGGCACCCACCATGCCCCTCAGAAGGTGGCAGCCATTCTTTATGGCCTTATGAGAATCCAAAACGACTATTGTCAGACTGCCTGCTTCTCCAAAAAGAGTTTAAAATCCGGAGTTTCATGTAAAACGTCACAAAAAGCCACATCTGTAGGTTGGTTCACTCACGGTCCGGGCTGCTGTGCTGCTGCCGGCTCTCTCCCCTGGTGTTTCTGTTTATGAAGAGAGGCCGCCAGTAATTGTGAGCCACGTGCTGTTTCTTTAGGAATTAATTAGTCAGGGATTTGGAGTAGCTTTATACAGAGAACTTAGCTTTATTAAAACACTCCTTGGCCCAAAGAAGAAATATTTTTAAAATCACAACCCTAAGTGCTTAATCTGCTAAAATGTACATACAGCAAATAAAATTAACACTCAGAAAAGAGCTTGCTTCCTGTTTCAGAAGAGCCCCTGTGTCCTCTGCAATCTGATGACAGGGAAGTGGACTTTTCAGCCAGTGGTATGACAACAAGACACAGACTTACCAAACCAAGTCAGAGTTTGAGAGCAACTAGCTGACAAGTTGCATTCACTGCAGCTTTATTACCTGGAAACCAGTTGGGCCCACTAGAGAGGGAGAGACAGCTTCTAGGGCTGATCCCCCATGGTGGGGCTGTCCTTTGAGCCCCTGCTCAGACACTGTAAATGGAGCTGGAGAGCTTCTGGGGGACAACACTGCAGGTAGCCCAGGACAGTTGGCTACCTGACACACCTCTCCATGTTCTGGGCCCTGTTCTGGGGACAGTCCCAGGGGTGGCAATCTATACAAATATGATGTACCAATAAGGCCATGTTTCTCATTTTTATCCCTAACTCCCATCTACTTTTGTTAGCAGGAAATCGGATCATCTAAATGTCCCTTTAAACTTTCTAAGAATCCTAAGCACTGGGTTCCAGGAAGTCAGTACTTCATCTGCAGGCCTGATGGAGAGAATGGGGAAGTCCAGCAGCTCCCCTGATGATTGCTTCAGAGGCCGCCACAAGGTGTTACTATTGCAGACTGTTTCTGTGCAGGCTGCCACACAGCTGCCCTACACTTTAGGTGCCGGCCCGCGCTGGTGCGGGCAGGTCTTTGCCCGTAGTAGTGCCCATGCCAGGCGGCGTGAAGAAAGTACAGGGCTGTATGCCAGCACTTATTGTAGCACAAATTGGGATGAGGAGGGGACGAGGGTGTGTCTAACCTGATTTCCCAACTGGCCTCCCTGAGATATCAGGTAGGCCACCAGAAATTCTGTTTCCATAGAGATCCCATAATTTTCTAGAAGAGCAGCAAAACTTTGAGATTGGCCTGTCAGGTGCTGGAATAGCCCCTGCATTAAGAGAAGGCAGTGGGCAGTGGTTAGGAGCACAGATTTTCACTGAGCAAGGTGGTGCATGCCTGTAATCCCAGCACTTTGGGAGGCCGAGGGGGTTGGATCATGAGGTCCGGAGTTCGAGACCAGCCTGGCCAACATGTCTCTACTAAAAATAAAAAAATTAGCTGGGCATGTGGTGTTCGCCTGTGGTCCCAGCTACTCAGGGGCTGAGGAAGGAGAATTGCTTGAACTCAGAGGCAGAGGGTACAGTGAGCCAAGATCACACCATTGTACTCCAGCCTGGGCGATAAGGCAAGACTCTGTCTGGGGAAAA